AAAAAGGGAGATTTCCTTGATCCTAGCCTCAGTGTCTGATCTGCCTGTTGGTGTCCCAGGAAGGCTGAGACCCCTGTTCCCAACCAGTCTGTCAGTGTCTCATTATGGGGCCCCTCTCTGAGCAGCCCTGCTGCATCAGATGGTGCTTTGACCTGTTCAGGGACACACCAGCAGCATAAGGAGACCTTCAGCAGCTCCTCCCACTTCATGAGCCTTCAGCAGGTCTTGCACTTTATTCAAGTATGTTATTCACTGCTGGCCACTGCCAGCACCCCAAAGAACTTACAGCAACAGTTTACAGAATGAATCTGTTATAAGACACATAATTCAGGATATCGCTTTGTTCAGACATTGCTTTAGCCAATGTTCCATTGCAAATCAGACTTGTTTCCTTCATGAGCCTGATTAGATTTTTTTTAACAGGCAAACAAAATCTCTGACATAATAATGTTTGAGCAATTGCTGTAACTCCCTCAACAGAGTGCCTGGTGGCACCATACAATGCCAGAAGCTCATTACATTCCTACTGTCATTGCAGTGGCAAGCACAGAGTTTGTTAACAGCAAGCACTGAAAACACTTCTGGTAGGAAGGAGTGATTCTTCTTGAGGGGCATGAAAAGTAGTTTTATGCAAGGAAAGAACAGAAGCTGGACTGGAATTCCTATCAGATCCATGGGACTGCAGTGTTCTCAATGCAATAGAGTGTTTCTTACCAAATTGCTCAGAAGTATTTGGTGGGGTCAATTCATGAAATCTAGCAGCACTGTAACATATTGACAGGTTGTGCCCTCTAGAGTGGTCATATGAAAAGTATGTAGAGAAAACACACTTCAGAATGAAAACAGAGAGTCTTAGATGGATGCTTCAATGGATTATTTGTATGCTTCAATGCATAGTTAAGGCTGTGGCTGAATAATGTTCTTTACAAATGTATCCATAAAGAGAAGCTGAATATAGCTGAGTTTATGAATAGGAAAAAACCCTTGTCACTACTGTAATATGGGTGGTCCGCTGAGAAGAAAGAAGAAAATTATTAATACACATTTCACTTTCATAAAAGCAAAATCAATCCCCTCACATATTCTTATACTTAAAAGTCCAATGTCATACACAGTTTTTCAGGTGATATTTTATGTTAACTTAGTACCTTGAGAAATTGCTGTTGTGTTAGGAGATTGAGCAAAATGAAGTTAAGCATTTCACTTTACTGTACAATTTGTCTTACATGTGCCACAGAAGTCAAACAAAGGGAAATTATTTTCATTTACATTACCAGATTTCGTGACACTCTAAAAGTCTTTAAAAAATCTTAACATTTTATATTGTCTTTACAAAATGGCTTCGATCACCTCTTGGTGCTTCTATTTTCTCAGTTCTGAAATCTTTCTCAGTGTTGTTAAACATAAATTAATAGCTCAAAGCAGAGCAATTCAAATAGGGGAGAATGCAGTCCATATTGTGTAAGGTTAGATACAGTCTACATATTAAAAAAAAATAGGTTATCTCCTATAGAAAGCTTTGAATTTCTCATACAGTGATTTATAAAAGAAATATAAATTCTGGATAGACAAAATCTGAACCAAGGTCTGAATATTTGGGCAACTTTTTGTCTGTTCTTATGACCTCAAACATAAGGGATTGACAAGTTTATCCCTTTTGGAATGTATTGATTAGCTGTTTGGCTTTTTTTCCTTTACTTTTTTTCCTCCAAGGAATTAACGAAAGAAAATAATTTATTTGTTTCCATGTAGGAAGTTAATTTGTATGCACAGAACCAGTTAATGAGACAAATTTATATTATACCTTTCAATTTGGGCTAATGTGAGACATCAACAGGGGACAGTACTTAGATTGGTTTCCTATATTAGTAGGATTTCCTGTACTCTGAATTGAAGACCAACCTGAGAATAAATCCTAATGTGAAGAGCCAGAGAATTTGTTTTAGATAAGCTTGGGATTTTTATCTTTTGTTGTTGACCTATATTATATACCCTATATTACATAGCTGCTGCTTTAAAAGATACTCAGTGGCTCATAAATTTCCTTCAGGGAATCATTGCCCTCATCTTCTTCAAAGACAAATCTGCCTGTGCACAATAGTAAATTCTGTTTGGTGAAATAAATTGTTAAATATTATGCTTTGGCATAAAATGACAGAAGTTCCAATTACCCAATCACCTTCTGAAAATATGACATCCTATATTGGCAGGTCATATTGATTCATTTCAAATAAAACATTTGCAAAATCTGGTTCTTCTAATATCATTTAAAAACTACAACAAAGGTAAAAAGGAAACAATTCAGAGCAGGATCTCCTGAGATGTAACCTGGATAATGTAGGTGTAATTTCAGTCTGGTTTCAACTGGAGACACATTGGCAGTTCACACTGGTCTAAATTTTTCCCTTTTTGCCACATTCTACAAAAGAGCTTTGTTTTCATTTCTTGCTTTAGCTAGTAAATTGGAAATTTCCAGTAAAAATATTTGGAATTACGGAATAATAATTAAAGACCTACCATACTGATAATCAGTGCCTAGAGCTGTTTTCATGGCAAGTTTTCTTTCCAATTAATGGGTCTAATTAGCTCAATATATGTAAGAATTGTTAATAAAGATGCTAAAGGAAAACAGACATTTCATGGTTTCTAAAGGTGTTTAGAGGAAAATTTTAAAAAAAGAATAGTGACTGAAACATGATATTAACTGGATGGTCAAGTAATATTTACTCCTTTATTTCTATGATTCTTCTTCTCTTTCATGAGAAAGCTATGAATGTGAGAACCAGGTTATCATCACTCCACAGCTTTGTGGCCCCATCCATCTCCGTTTTTTGGAGCAAAGCAGTTTGGTCAAAAGAATGTAATAAGATTCCAATAGGATAAATGAATGTTGCTACAAAGGAAGGTAAGAGATGAGTGACAATCCCATTTCTGTTAAAAAGAAAAGTCTTAGAAGAAATTTGGTTAGTGACTGATTTGGTTCGATCCTGTGAAAAGATGACCAAGGCTGGTGTTCCAGATTAAGAAATAATATTAAAAAATTAGGATTCCAGGTAGAAAAATGCCTCCCAAAATGCTCCTAAAAAGTAGTCTTACAACAAAGGGATAAACTGTAGCACATTTTTTTCATCTGCAGTTGGCTGTCATGTCCAGATGCCTGGTCTGGTTGGAGAAAACCAGATGTTTATCTAGAATAAAAAAGACGTTCTTAATATGCAGTTAGTCCATGACAAACCACCTAAGCAACTGTAGCCTTTTTCCTTCATAGGAAACCTACAGTTCACTTTTCCTTTTCTTTTAACATCCTCTAGGAGGAACATATTATTCTCAATAGGACACAATCAGGTGAGCTTTGCTGGAGCAGTTTCAGAAATAAATTTAGTCCTAAAAATGTCATGATGAGATGTTCTTGACACAGAAATGGAAATAAGACCTGAGGCAAAAAGATTAAATGTCCCCTCTGAAATAAAGCTAGGTAGTTATTTGGTGCACTAATATGCACCAATATCCTTACCACTCATTACAGCAAAAGCCATTTGGAATTAAATCTTCACACAAGAAATGGAATAACTAAATAACTAGATAACCAAATAGAAGCATACAGCTTTGGTAACTTTCTTTTCAGTGGAAAGGAAACCATACTCTTTCTAAATCGCAATCTACTAGAAAGACAAAATTTAATTTCAGTCTACTAAAAATGTTATTAAATTAGATGCAGCATCTGTACTGTTGTCTGCAAATTTCTTTAGAAGTCACCCTGTAAACATGAAGCACACTTAATGGTCACTTCCAATGCAGAGGCAGTCCTTTGACTTTGTATATCAGTGATTAAAAATAGGTGAAAATAACTACAAAATCTAGTGAAGTGTGTAGGAAAAGCATTCAACTAGAAAACAAGTCACCAACCATCTATTCTACAGGTACTAAATCCCCCACAGTTGAAACCAAATCCCAATGAAGACAGCAATGTTTTCATTATTATAGAAGGATTTATCCCATAGCAGTACAGTAGAAGTCTAAAATATAAAAGCAAAAAGAAAACAAATTTATTTCAATGAAAGTTAAGTATTACTAATTTTCTGAAGCTTTTCCTCAATGGCATCTGCTGAGGCATGACAAAAGGACACAGCTCATGATCTTCTAAAGTCACATATCCTTCTTCAGCACCCCTGGGTCTGCCAGCTCCTGTGCAGCTGCTGGAGCCCAGCTTGGTGCCCAGGGACCCAGCATCTCTGCCCAGGCTGGAGACACAGCTGCCACTTTCTTTGCAGTTTCAACCAGTATCAAAGCTGAGTCCATATCCCAGCAACAGGGACACAACTACAGACACACAAAGAGCCAGACACAGATTTACAAGGACATTGACATTGACATGGTCAGTCACACAGCCTGACAGACAAGGCAGTACCTCCAGCTGCCCCTATGGACAGGGGACAGGGCTCACATCAGACCCAAGTGCAGCCAGCCACCTCCCATCTCCTCTTTGGCTGTTAGAGACAGCAGTTCACAAGTGCAGGAACACATGCGCACATCCATGCACTCTGCTCCCAGACAAAAACACTCATGGATGTCACAAGTACTATTATGGACAGGTTTTATGTCTCTTTGTGTTTGTTCTCTTTTACCACATCCTCCCAAACTTATAAGATTGTTAATAAGATAATATTACTGAAAAAATAAACATTTCTACGCTCCATGTATTGTTACAAATTAATGCATCTAATCAAGTGTGTTCTCATCATTAACTTTTTTTTTCACACTCTCATGGCATACATTAGCAAAAGTGTACAAAATCCATCAGTATTAAATTACAGCTAAATATCTGAATGCATGTGTTTTCCTGTATGGTAGACACTATGTAGCTTATTTATTCACTCAGAGACCTAGAGGAGACTGTAAATTTCTATCCTTTTATATAACTCACCTGCTTTAAGAAATGAAGCCAATTTCACTACATTTTTTCATAGATAGAATTGTATTAAACAAAAACTACTGCTATTTCAACATGTGGAAAAATTACACATGGAATATATCAAAATGGAATTACATGTGCTCACTAGCCCACAACCTTGAGGTACTTCAAACTGGATAATCTGGAGTTCACTCTTGGATTCATCACCAATGAAGCAAATCCAGTAGATGCCATATTTCATGAGGCTTCCTATAGTAAATATTGGGAGAAGAAAAATATTTAATGAATTGTTTTTGTTTGTTGCAATACAAAACTTTCAAGTGCTCACTTTCTTCTGGAAAAGGTTTCATAAAAAGAAAGGGAAGAACCAAGGTCAATTAGCAGTTTGGCTGAATTTTAATTTAAGGGGCAGGGGATTTTATCAAATCTTTACCTAATTTTACATTAGTTGACATGAGACAAGGAATTTGTCATGAGCAAAATAATAGAAATTGAAATTATGTTGATCATCAATTCTTTTTGTGTAGCTGTCTGTGATGACAAGAATCCAGTCAAGATATATTTTAATTCTCATTCATGTTCATGTGCATTTGTATATTCCTTTTTTATAGAATGTCAAACACAGATTTTACTTTCCACCATTCAGTGCTACAAATGTTCTATGAACCACTATTGAAAACTAACAAAGTATTATTAAGTTAGCATCAGATAAAGAGATTTGAGGCAATTGATCCTGCAGTTCTATTAGCCTTTCTCTAATGTTATACTATCACATTTAATCTCCATCCTTCCTTCTCCAAATCAAATAATCTAAACCCTTCTATCATTTCACTGAATAAAATCCTTTACTCCATCCTCCTCACCAATGAAAATTTGATTTATTATCTAAATTTTGCCTAGTTCTGAAATACCACTTTAAAATGTTACTTGCAGTATTTAATGTATGGATGAATTACTGAAATAATAATGAAACATTTTCTATATTACAGTATGACATTTGTCTCTTTTTTAACAGTGTCAACATCCTGTTCATGCTTTCAATCAATGTTGTTTGCTCAATAGGGTTTTTCAATGGCCTATTGTGGTCCCTCCATTTTCTCTCTGAAGGATACAATCCCATCATTGTGTCTGAATGATTTAACTTGTTAGTGCCAATGTGCAAAGACTGCTGGCTCCTGTTATTGTAAGTGACCTCTTCCAGTGCAGAGCAATTAATTTATTTGTAAAGCATATTTTATTCAATTTTACTATGTTTTTTGAATGGTGGCTCTATGCACCAAAAGAAAAAATTAAAACATTGATGCTTAGCTGTTCTAATATCTCAATTTAGAATTGAAAAAAAAATTAACTATTTGTATTAGTTGATATTCAGATTTTCTTTAATGTAGAATTACACTCTTAGAGATGCAATTGTAATTCTGCTCTAATTTAGTTTTCTCACCAGGCCAAAGAACAGAACTGAGTGAAACAAATGCTGTACAAATAAAAGTACATGTAAAAACACAAATCTTTTTAATTGTCATGAATATTTATAAATAATATATATGCATAATTCCACTTTATATTTGATAACCAATTAATTTCTCTACATACAAATGAAAGTGAGACAATCCATTGACTAAGACAATAACAGGAAATATGTACGGCTTCTTTGACTGTCCTCCTTTACACTGATGAAATGTAAAGTATTTTATGTTCTCTCTTGCTTACAAAAGTCTCATCTATATTTTAAAAGTAAACATTAAAGAATCATTTAAAACCTTTTTGGTTTATGTCAGGGCATTAAAATTGACATTTGTCTGATGTATTAGCTTGAGAAAACAGGTGACTAAAATTGTTAAAATTTTAAGATTGTCCAACTATTTTCTATTCTTTTGTGCAAGTCCTACTTACATAGATTAAGGTGTGTTGAATTCAGCTACAATCATGTATGAGAGTAAAGCAGTAGTTCCTAAAGAATGCTTTTAAAAGTGGATGATAATTTTTTTTTTCAAATTCGAATTCAAAACAGGTAGATAAAATAATAAGCACTTGTCATGCATATTAAAGTAAGTTTTTTTTTTCCCTCAAAATGATCACATGTGAATACAATATTGGAAATTGTCCATACTTTAATAACAATACTGTTTAATGGAACTATGGATGAGCAAAAGACCATGTGGGAGATGGCAAAATGGACAAAACAAACACACCAGGTACTAAACTTGTCTCCGAAGGCAACAAAAAGATAACTATTTATTTGAGGTATTTAAAGGTACACAAGCTGAGGATGGTCTCATGTCGGGTAGGAAACAATTTGGCATTTGGTAGAGAGGCAAGATAAAATTTTTAACAGATTGATTTCATCTTTTAGTTTTAAGATTGGATGAGTATTTATACATTCAGATATACATTAAAAAACCCAAAAAATCCCCTGAGGAAACCAAAGCACTAATTTCAGCAGTGTTGTGTTTAGTGTATAGGTATTTAGCAGAAAATAACCCCCCTTGAATTCAGCTGATCCTCTAAGATAGGAGAGTCTGGGTGTGGCTGAGGTTAATTTTTGATTATAGTCAATTAAGAACTCCAAGTCTGGTTGAGTTCAAACCAGCTCAGTACTGTGGGCCTGCTTGTATTCAATGAGGCCTTAGATGACTGACAAACAGCAGCCTTTATTGAAGCAACAGAAAAGCAGGTTCAGAGTTGCTCATGATAAATGCACTAACTGCAGAATATTAGTATGCATTAGTATGTGCTGTGACAGAAAGCACAACAGGATGATCTAGTAACAAGATAGCTAGATAGATAAATAGATAAACACATGTGTATATAAATATATAAGTGAATGAATATTCCCAAGCATGTTCCAACACAGTTGGAGGTGCAAAGCTCCACAGGTAACCCTTCAGGAAAAGAGACACAGCCCACTGACTGTTCACAGAGGGAAGAGGTGCTCTCCTCCAATTTTTTTCTGAAGCCCCTCTTTTATGCTATAAATATTGGCTGGTCCAAGGAGAGGGAACCATCAGATGTTGATGGGGCTTGGTAACTTTGGTCATCAATGCATTATAGGTCTCACGTTCTCCTCCATTTGTATCCCAATGGGTGTGTAATTTAATATGTTAATGGGGCTTAATTAGAGTCTCAGTCAGAATTTACAGTTGACAAAAGAGGTAAAATAAGCACATCAGTCCTTCTAATACTGAGAAGTCAGTAAAGGCTCTCTGTCCTTCATCAGTGGGTCTTTGTACACATCCTTACCTCCTTAATGAAGCAGATTGATAATAAGCCTTGTTTCCCAGGGTGAAGTGAGGGGCTGTTGGCTGGTATCCAGGTGCAGTGTTCTTCTGGGCCTCACTGGAACATCAGGCTGTGAGACCTCTGCTTTTCTTCAGACATTATTCTGTTGTTAGACTTGCTTGAGACAACTGCAAAATAATCAAAGGGCCCACTTCATGTTTTTCTCAACCAGCCCCATCAATACTTCACTGTCTTAAAACAACACTGTACAATTCTGACCCTCCAGCAGAAGGGGTAATACTTTGAAGAGGCAGAACCAAACATAAACATACCTGCCGTTACAGTTTTTCTTGAGATGGCTTTTTAGATTTAATAAAGTCACTTTTGGAGAAAAACCCAAAGATTCATCTAATGTGAACATCTAAGAGAAACTGCTTTTAAAAAGTCTTTCTTCAGAGAGTCCAAAAACTTTGACACAATTTCACTGTATGTATCTGAAATAAAATGGGAGATGAAACCTTCCAACAATACAAAAGATTTTGAGACATTTATAAATTTATTTAATTTATAAAGATAGATATAAATATCTTTATATCAGTTTATAAAAATTGATAAATGTTGTAGCTTCTATTCCTTTTTTTACAAGTACAATTATTGTGTTTTTGCTTTAATGGTCACTGAAGTTAGACTGGTTTACACAAGGGTGAGCGAACAGATTGGACTGGAATTGTCCTTTCCACCACAAAGGTTGAAACCTACCAACTCAGGTCCCCAGTTGTTTTAGTTTCCAAAAGTACAAGTGGAGAGAGTCACATCTTGCATTCTGTGTAGTGGTTAGAGACTGAGGAGTAGGAAGATTTTTCTGAAATTCTCACTTATGAGAATTATGGGAAATGCAGGTATTTACTTTGTGAATTCTGCAGTCAAGAGATTTTTTATCCAAAGGTGTGTTTTTCTTCCTCTGCTAAGCACAAACTTTCAGAAACAAACTCCACAAGGAAGAGAGCCATTTCTTCAGACATATTGCTGTCAGTGGTCGTCCATAAGGCCATATCTGTTGTTTATTGATGTGGTTTCACCTGATGTGTAAAAGCTGTGCAAACCTCACAAAACACAAAAACAATCCCATAAAATAGACATTTTATCTACACAAAACAGAGTTTCCTTTTTTAAGATTTCTGGATCTCTTTCCATAGAACTGCTCTGTTTTCTGGTTAGGAAGCCTCTAAGATCATTGCCTTGCTGCAATTGGAGTTTAGAACTCCATGATGTAATATCAAAATGCAGTGGTATAAATGTGGCCATACATTGTCCTTTTATTCACAAGCCCCTTCATACTAAATAACTAACCAGTAAAATGAAAATATTTTTCATATTCTTCCCTAAGGTTCTGTGAAATGGAGCTTTGCTTTAGATAATAAAGATATACAAGTACTCTTCCCAATTTTACAGTTAATTTTCAAAATCCTCAAAATAATAAAAATTTGGTTATCAGCTTCTGGATCTGGAATAAGGGAGGGAAAATGTTGGGATTTTTCAGTATTTTTCAACATTACATTCTTGACACATCTTACTCTGCAATGGAAATTCAAAAAAAATTCCATGATCCCCACGATTTTGAAACAGAATATACTTATTCTGAATATACTTATTATTTGATCCTGTACTTTTGGAGTGCATTTATCTTATCTGAAACTGAAGAGGTTAGATTTGCTGTGAAGAGTGAATAATTCATCTATTTCTTAGATCATTGAAAACCAATTAAGTTGATTATTCAGATTATTTTAGAATACTTTATGCTTTTTTTTTTCTTTTCCCTAATACTTCACTCACTAAAAAGTTGTAAATAGCTTTCATCAAGAAATGGGCATGTGGCATTATTTGAAGGGAAAAATTCAAAAAGGTTACCATAAAAATTATTTTTTTAAGCCAAATGCGAATCTATATAATTTTTAAAGTAAAAAATATGAAGGACTAGGGATGAAAGAGTTGTTTGTCATGAACAGATAGAAGAAAATCATATTGAAGAACATAAAAAAAAATAATTTATTAGCAGATGATTCTTTTCCCCTGAATATCACCATCAAAGCAATATGTTGTTATTTTAGAAAAAAAACATGTACAGATGGAAGAAGTCACATGGAACATCTATTTTCTAAGCATCCACTCAAAAAATAGCAAGGCTCTACCACAAAAATAAGTCACTAAAATTCCAAAATAGAAGTGAGAGAATAAAAGGGCTAATGAGGAATGGGTAACTACATGAAAATTCAAAGACCCAAAACTATTCCTAAGAAGATCACATACTATCCTGTGTATTTCACTGAATATGAAAACACTACCACCTAGTACCACCTAACTGCAATAAAGAAAAAACAGCAGAATTAAATCAAGGGCAACATTCTAAAGCTTGAGATACCATGCCTTGACACTACCCCACCACAATGCAGGGCATGTGAGGGGCTTTCAGGTCTAAACAGGTTTCATTTGGATCTAAAGTCAATTCTTCCTATCTGTGCTTAATCCTCAAGTACCTCCATCTGCTCTTTCCAGATTCCAGTCCTCAGGGCTGTAATTAAGGCTATTTCATATTTGTGCTTTAACCTCTCAGTGTGCTCAGTCATTTGTGGGAACACCATCACTAACAGGTCCATGAAGCCTGTTGATCTTCTCCTGTGATAGATTCTCAGCAGCAGTAGGTTTTCTTCTAAGCAGTTTCTAAATATCAGTTTTCTGCACATCTTGACATGCAGTCATAAACAGACAACACAAATAGGTATAGTGACCACCTGCTTTTCTCACACTATTCCTCTGTTATTCTGGAAGACATCATCCACACAGATACCATATTTAACCTATCTTGTTTTCATCCCAAGGAAGAGGACTGTGGAATTTTTTAGTCAATTCTTTTCAAGGTTGATATGTACATTACTTCAAGGACAGCTCTTGAGCATGGAGCATGATGTACTAAAAAGACATATAAAAGTAAATTTGCATTCTTGTCCTAAAATCCAAGGGAACGCATCCAAGGGGTGAGACAGTTACTGTTTATGTGATATGGCCCCATGTCTAAGCAGGAGTGAAGAAATGGGACTGGTATCTTTAAAGTATTTGGAGGAACTGGCTCTTCTCTTTCCTTGCTTGTAGCAGACCTCCCTGCCTCTTACCTCTATTCCTTTATTCTGTTTAATTTTTAAAATATCAGGTTTTTTGTGTGATCTGAGAGTTCTCATTTTTCTCCCTCCCTGTTGTCCATGCTTATCTTGGAAATTAATTAGGATGCCTTTATTTAAAAGAAAGCAAATATACTTTCTTATGGCAGCATTTTCTCTTCCATGGTTCCAGCAGAATTTAGTTAAACTTGTTGCATTTCTGTAAAGTCCTTTAACTGGACCAGTATTGTCTTTACCTTTAAGATAGCTTTGGGAGCTGAGGAAGCTGAAGCTGCTGGTGGCTGATGGGAGTCTTTTCTCCTGACCAATTATCGGTCATTTCTAAGAATTGACAGCAGTATTAACCATTAAAAAATTGAGATCAACTTGTGAACACCACCTAAGGATGTAAAGACAGAGTTCTCTTGATCGTTTTTGGTTTCCAGCTTCTGAAAAGGTAACAAGGCTCTGTCTCGGCCTCCTCCCCCACCTCCAGGCCGGACAAGGCCGCAGAGGGCAGCAGAGGGAAGGCGGGGCCTGCGGGCCTGGCTTGGTTTGTAGTTTCTGCTGCTGGACTGAAACCTGACACCATGAACATCTGCAGCTTTTCCAAGGCTTTAACATCTACCTGGATGAGACATACAGATTATTCCTTTTTCCCAGAGACAGAGAGAGACAATCAACATGAAAAAAGACATCATAAAACCATCAAGTGAACTAAAGAGTTAAGTTTTAGATGGGGAAGAGAGAATAAGGAGATGCTTTATAAGCTGAAATATTTTTCTGTTAAAGCTATAGAGATGGAGAATAGTGTTCTGAAAAAACTCCTTTAATTCATGACAGAGTATATTGGGAGGAATGGAGTGTTCAAAGTGTGGATTTTGAGCAAAAGGTGGAGTAATTGTGATACAGTGAGGGGCTGGAACAGAGTGGGGAGAAGTAATAGTTGAAGATTTGGGGCCGTTGTAGAGGCAAAGAGAAAACTTCTGTTTCCAGAAAAGCTCACAGAGACAGATGAAGAAAACTTTTGCCTTTGAATAACTCATCCTTAAAAATGACATCCCTAGACTCATTGACCCATACACACCTCAGAGTGATGTGAAATGGGAGGAGTGAACTCTGATGACAGATTTCCGGGTAGCTGGCATCAGAAAAATAGAAAGCTATAACAGAAATGGTTTTCTTGTGAAAAACTCCATAAATTAGCAGAAGAAGACTTCTGTTTCTCTACAAAGGCTGATGAAGACTCTTGCAGGAATTGGGACTGTTTCAAACACCAAAGTTCCAAAGTTTTTCATCTCTATGTTTTCATGTGAACAAGGGAATGGTTGAGTAGTGGGGGATAAAGGGGTTTTCTGGAGGTTTATTCTGGTGTTCTTATTGTAGTTTTGTTAATAAACTTTCTTTATTCCTTTTAAGTTTTAAGTCTGCTTTGCTCTTGTTCCCATCCATATCTCACAGCAAGAAATAAGTAAGTTTTCTAGTAATTTTTTTAGTTACTGCTTTAAAACCATGACATTTATTTGGTGCGTTGGCCAGGAAAACAAAATTAGCAAATCTAAACCACTACAAGTATGAACTATGTGACAGACCAGAAATGCCTTCTAGAAGATAACCCACCTTCTAGAAGATAACTCAACAGAAGCTGACAGCATGTTAGGGCAAAGTTTTACTTCTCACAAAAGAAGTCAAGAAGTGACTATATTTTCTCTTGCAACCTATGATGTTCAGGATGCATGGTGCTATCTGACTTCAGATCTTCACTTCCAGGACCAGTAGCAGCACAGATAAGGGGCATTATGTTATGAAGTTTTTCCATTCTCTCAATGTAGTTGCCTGAAATTCAGCAAGAATGCTTAGAAGGTCTGTTGCAAATGAAAACAGAAATATCTGGTTAAATTATATGCTTCCAAAAATTATCTCAGCAGAGACTCACTGAACTGCAACAAAAAAATGCCCTGAGGCTCTGTCTCATTGAACTTAATCTATTCTAGGATTACAGGAACTCTTTTTGTGTCAGTATTAAGAGATGAAGGTCTCTGCAGGAGCCAGGATGCCAATATAGAAATTAAGACTAGGAGTGAGGGACAAAAAGGGTCACCAGTGCTTCTAATTAGAAAAACAGAGTTACAAAAAGGGGCCAGATTTGACAAAGATAATAGGACAGAAAAGCCACAGGAAGGAATGAGAGGGTAAGGTCATGAAGATAATATGGTGAAATTCTGAGGGGTAGTTTTCTGGTTGGATATCTTCTACAAGTGTTCTTTAGGATTACTCTTTTTTTTATTTTTTTATTTTTTAGAATATCATTGCATTCTTGATTCTGAGCTGTGCTCAGGTGCCCCTCAAGGGATGACCAACCCTTTAACTATCAGCACAGTAGGAACATGTAAGATGTGAAATTTCAGAGAACCAAACACAGATCTTTGTTTGATTACAATTCTCAAATCTTCTTGTGTTCTTTTAAATGCTTATTCTTTTCTTTCTTTCCTTTCCAGTGTCCTTAGCATTTCCTTTTTGAATAGGGACACTAAGAACACACTATGTTGTTGGGTTTCTTTTAAAGTTTTACAGAAATACTATGAACGAGGTTTATACAGGTAATGCCACCAACACTTTCAGGCTCATTGCCCCTAACCATGCTCTAGCATCTTGTTTCTGGGTTTGCATGGAATTTCTGTACTGCAGCTAAAAAGATTACAAAGGCACCAACCAATATTGAAATCTAGGGAACCAGTACAACAAGGACTCTAGAACACAACATAGCATGTTTTCAATTTAGGTCAGTTTATGCATACTGTAAAGAATTGGAGACCATCCTCTATTGTTCTATTTCTATAAAGAAGGAAGGTTCATCAAATTATTTTTACGAAAAAACTTCCTCATGCATAGTATTTACTGATCTGTATATCACTATATATGGAATTTGCAAGCTCAACTCTTACCATGGAAACGCTTGTCTTAGAATTTTGGTAATGAAAGTACTAGAATTCTCTGCCAGTTCTCCTTCCTCCTGTGTCCCCACTTTTTATTCATAAGCCAAAGCTGGGTTATAATACCTTTATTTCAGTTTTAAAACAGGTATTTCATTAGAAAGACAGATCTGATTTTATATATAACTATATTGTATGCTTGTACTTGTTTCCTAGACATAAAACAGAAGTCATAAAATCAAACAAACAAACAAAAGAAAAAGACCCTCAAACAACAACAAAACTCCAAATCCACATTTCAGTGGAAGATTTAGAAAATACTTTTCTGCTGCATTGGTCTATCAATTAATGTTTATATTTCGTGCAATTAATTGAACTTCTGACACAGACTTGAGCATTTAGTAGTGTATATCTTGCAGTCTTTGATACAATTGAAAATCAAAAAACTAATGCAAATCATTTAAGTTCCTGTTTCTTTCTTTTTTTGTTGTGGTTTCTTTTCTCAGATGAATTCTGTCTAATACCTGCCTGAATGAGCCTGACTGATATGGTTTGACTTGCAGTTCTAAAATTACACTGGACTAAAGTGGACAAGGAATTTAAGTAGTTAGATTAAATACTGCACACTTTATAATGTGTGAGATGTCGCAAGCAAACAATTTAAGTGTTAACATAACTCAGCTTCTAGTTCAAGATTTGTTTTTCTCTGTTGTCAGGAAATCCTAATGAAGGAGCAGAAAAATCTTTTCCTAGGAATTTGTAGTGCAGACCAGACAATGCACAGAATTCCCCTCTATCTGAACCAAGTAATTTATTACTGTGGTACCAAGAATGGCCAAAGAAATCACACTGGCTGGCAATGCTTTCCATTATTTCTTCCTTATATCAGATACCTTCTATTAGTCTTAATATAATCTTCTCCAAGAGCAATTTACCAACCAGAAAATTGTCTTACAGTTTAGTAAATGTTGTTCTTCCTCAGTTAATTAATTTTGTAACCTTTTTAATGCATTATTTTAAAGATCTTAATCCCATTTGCATGAATCCTAGAAGGGTGAATAAGAGAAATTGAACATTTTTCCTTTATTCCTATCTTTCACTGAAGCCAAATCACTAGCAAGATAGAACCCTGTGTAAAAATTACTATTTAACACTGGTGTGGTTTTTTATTCAATGACTAATGTTGCTCTATATTTTTCCCAGCTGGCCTTTACACCAACATACAGAATCTGTAATTTTGCACTACCCCACATGTCAAAATGTCCCCATAAAACAAAGAATCACCCACCCTGCCACAGGAGTTCATGATGAAACGGAAATGAATTTAAAGAAGCACTGATAATATTAATTTACCTACCCCAAGGGAGGGTTATCATGCAGTGTTTTTAGCTGTCTCCCTAGTATCAGGCATGGTGATCCTTCTCTCAGCTCCCTGGGGAGTCAGTGGTCTAAGGGAAGATGAGATATGGTGAAGAAAGAAGGACTGTCTGCCAATTTGCAGGTCAGGATTCTTTAATTTAATCTTTCTTTCCTTATTCTATGAAGAAAGAGCAGAAGACTGGCAGTAAGAAGGTAAAGTTCTAATGGCATCAACCTCTTGTATTCCTGTAAAATGCCAAGCATGTGTTCTAGTATGTACAGCTATACAAATTCTTAAATGGAATAGAAAATATAGGAAAAAATTAACTTCTCAACCTCCATATTTATTTTTTCATTTATTTTTTGTATCTTTAATTGGCTTAAAGAGATTAATGAAGTATTTGATTACAGGAGTTTGTGATTCAGCAGCTCAATAAAGCTGGAAGAAATAAAAATTAGCTTTGAGAAGCAGGAAATTCTAAATGCAGGAGCAAGATGTCCATGTAACCTCATCATTATTTGGCATCATGACTATTGCAAGGAACTTGCTAACTTGCCAGCAGGCTTGAAGCCCTCTCTTCTGTTTTTCTGAAGTGTGAAGGGACAAGAGAATATATCTGGACCGGAAATAATTTCAGAAAGTTCCATTGTACACATTGTCCTCTGCACTCTGGTGGTCTGCCCAAAGAGTCTGTGGACCAGTTAATCCAGTTCAGAGCTGGATTAATTCTAAACACTGAACACAATGGTCCTCTGTAACCAAAAGGCTCATTTTTGATCCAACAGAGTCAAGGAAAATGCTCCATGGCAATGGAGATGCTCATTATGGTGAAATCTTCCTGCCTTGGTTGGGAAATCAAACCTTGTACAATCAGGCTATGTATTTCTTAAATTATTAATTCTCATTACACAAGTTTGATCTCATAATTTCTACTGGTGGGCTTTTTATATTGGTAAATACATCTACAGTAGGACTATCTGCAGCTATATAATTTTTAAAGGCAA